TTTGTAAAAACCAGTAGCCTCCTGCGTTTTCCTCCCAGTTTTTCTGATTCCTTTTTCCTCCATAAACTGGACAAACAACATCTGCCCCGATCGCAGGATGTTTTCTGAACAAACCACTTAGGAGGAATTTCTGCGAGCCAATTCCCACAAGCTGCTGTCAGTCAGTAGCTGGCACTGCAACACTTAATGCCTTTGTCTGTTCTCCAATTTATCTTGTTAACAGCAAATTGGGCTAACGGCTTGAAGCACAGAGCTATTGTAAAAAAAAAAAAGTACTGTGAGGGGAGTACTCCCACGGCCGCAGAATAACATATGGCTCCCTTCAGTCAAAAATGCATCCCGAGCACTTATAGGGCTTCATGTTTACACCGTATATAAACCTGATACACAGATCCCATGCCTGAGTCCGCGGCCTGTTAGCCTCTGGCTTTGTGATTCCTGCGCAGTAATAAAGCAAAGGTTTTTAGTGCATCCTKTTCTGAAGCGGTGAGTAATTGGCATTTTAAATTACCACACAGGCCATGTTTGCAAAGGAGGTAAATCAGAAACAACGGGCTCCTGCTCCTCGTGGGCTTTCACGTTAACAAATCTGKCTGTTAATAATGCAATTCCTAAGTGGAGACAAAAAATGGATCATGAGAATAAATGCTCCAGCTGGGAATGGCTTTCTTTTGCAAAACACAATTTCCACCAAAAGGGATAGTGCATCTTAAAGTGTGCCACAGGAAGGAAAAAAAATCATAATGAAACCTATTCCTTTGCATCTTCCATGCTCTTATTCCAATCCTCCTCTCTCCTTGTTCCCCCTCCACACATCATTAAACATATTATTATAACATGACTGTCAGCCTGCGCCTCTCCTCGCTCCATTCTTGCTCTGCCAGGTAATCAATTTGTCGTCACTCTCTGTAACCCCAGTAAAGTCATCAAGTGAAATGAGTTACAGCTGCAAAGAGCCTTCAAGAATACAGGAGAGAGGAGCGGGAGGGGGAAAACGGGGGAGAAAAATGACAACACAGCCCAGGAATATTCCACCGCTTGATAGCACATCCCAGGTCTTGAAGATGAAATATTAATGCACAATTTGTTTATCTGCGGGCCCACATCTCTCCGGTGCCGAGCTGTTAATTTTCTATCGGCACAGACAACGGATCAGTCAGTCATGAACTCTTCACAGCCATTACCGGGAGACATTTTGATTAAGTATTCCTAATGTAGTGGATAGGAAAGAATGAAAACACTCTGCCTGCCAACTTTTGATTGACCATTAAGCCACTGATGAATGTGCCTGTCAAAGAGGAGACAATTACCTCAACAATGAAGAAACTCTTCTGGAAGGCTTATTTCTCTGTAGGGCTGACACATTTACCAGAGCACAGGCGAGGCAGCTGAGAGCGTGGAGAGGGATCACTCAGGCACCTTCCCCAAACTTCTCTGAATAAAAACTGGGGGGCATTGTTTCTAAGAAAAGAGGGCTTTTCAAAGCTCAAATGTGGGAACGAAATATTTACTGTGGGACTGTACAGCAGTGTGTGTGTGTGTGTGTGTGTGTGTGTGTGTGTGTGTGTGTGTGTGTGTGTGTGTGTGTGTGCAGATAAGAGTCTGAGTATCTCCAGCGGGTATAAAGAGACGCTGTTACTGGCAGAGAACAATCACCATCTGGTTGCTACATCCGTAATAAAGACTAATAAGTTCTCCACGCACCACAACCGAGTGGTCCCATCCTCAAACACCAACCAACCCGTTCAAACCGGCAGCTTCATCACATCAACATTTGCATTAAGTCAGAGAAAGGGCTGCAGAAAACCACACGGAGGCAACGGTTTCCCTTGTTTGGTTTTAGTTATTTGGTTTGTTAGGGAGAAATMAAATAAACCTAAGATTCTGATCAAATCTGCTGACGATGCAAAAATATCCTGAGGACCAAGGGTCAGGAATGAAAACAATGAAGGTCTAAACCCAACGAAGGTCTGACCCCAACAAAGGTCTGACCCCAACAAAGTTCTGACCCCAACGAAGGTCTGATCTCAACAAAGCTCTGACCCCAACAAAGGTCTGACCCCAACAAAGGTCTGACCCCAACGAAGGTCTGAACCAAACTAAAGTCTGACCCCAACAAAGTTCTGACCCCAACGAAGGTCTGATCCCAACAAAGTTCTGACCCCAACAAAGAGCTGAACCAAACGAAGGTCTGAACCTAACGAAGGTCTAAACCAAATGAAGGTCAGACCTCAACGAAGGTCTGAACCTAATGAAGGGCTGACCCCAACGAACGTCTGACCTCAACAAAGAGCTGAACCAAACAAAGGTCTGAACCTAACGAAGGTCTGAACCCAACGAAGGTCTGAACCCAATGAAGGTCTGAACCCAACGAAGTTCTGAACCCAACGAAGGTCTGAACCTAACGAACGTCTGACCTCAACAAAGAGCTGAACCAAACGAAGCTCTGACCCCAATGAAGATCTGACCCCAATGAAGATCTGACTCCAACGAAGGTCTGACCCCAACGAAGGTCTGAACCCAACAAAGGTCTGAACCTAACGAAGGTCTGAACCCAACAAAGAGCTGAACCAAACGAAGGTCTGAACCCAATGAAGGTCTAAACCTAACAAAGGTCTGATCCTCAGGCCTTCTTGGACTAAACAAAAGAAAAGTTAAGGTTTTTGTGGAAGTGGGTCTGTGTCCACCTCCTCTCTTCCAACAGCATGGATGTGTGTGTGCGCGCACACGCATGTGTGTGTGTGTGTGTGTGTGTGTGTGTGTGTGTGTGTGTGTGTGTGTGTGTGTGTGTGTAACACATTCTCCATTTGTCCATAAGATTATGAAGAGTTCAGCCAGAGTTCATCTGCTACAGATCCAGCCGCAGCACATCTTTCCTTCTCTGCTCTTCAGATCAAATCAAATGAAGCCCAGGAGTTTGTTTCTTCTTTTCTTTGTTTTAGTGTGAAAAATAAAGTTTCTGACTTGTGAGCGGATAAATGTCTCGTGACAGGTTGTAGGATTATTTAAGAACTGCACAGCTAGGCTGCCTTTCTTTCTGCTTATTTTTTTCTTTTGCAGCTGTTTGCATTTTCAGCCCTATTTATTGTCCTGTAAGAGCAGCTCACACACACACACACACACACACACACACACACACACACACACACA